CTTGCTTATGCAATAAAAATATGTTTAAATGAAATAATTTTCATTACACAGCATCAGAGTGGGTGGTAGATGGGATGATTAGTCTGATCCAAACTTAGAATAAAAAAAGGCCAGAAAGGAGAGCAGAACAAACTCCTAACAGGAAGAGCTTTGTTTACACATTTGACAACATTACAAATTTTGATGATACTATAAAAAAAAACGTCAATGAAAAGGGGGAACACTTTTGTATGTCATTTGAGTTTATGCTGAAGCTTGTGAGATAATTTTTGAAACAAAAGATCACGATGTTGTAGGCTACTCACCGAAATGCTCCTTCATGTATACATCCATCATGCAGGTAAACTCATACTGTTTTTTCATATCCATTTTATCTATAATTTTTTTCCACAGTTGGCACTAAAAAGGAACATAGAAATGTTAACTGACTAATAAGCAGAAGCAAATTGTGTTTGCAGAAAGATTCAAAGACTGTGGATGTGGAATGATTGGCCAAAGTAGATGTCCCGCGTCAGCACGTTCTAAACGTGAACAGCATTAAATGTGAACCTATTTCTAGCAAATTTCTTTTTGCGTTAACACAGAGCAGCATTCCGGGAAATTATTGGTAAGGTTGCAACTTTTCTTCCCGGAAAATTTGCAGAAAGAATTTACTGGTATTTTCAAAAAGGGCCTTTTCATACAAGATTTCTTCCCAGAAATTTGCAAGTATTTTTTTTTTTAGAAAAGTCTTTATGTGTGAAAGAAGCTTATGTAAACATGCACATGACAGACATGTCTCCCACCTTTTACAGCGCCTCACATTTTTAAGATGTTGCTTCAAGTTAAAGATTTTCAACTTTTACATGCAGCGCCACGTTTGTTCCAATTCAGTGGGCCAATCCACACTCTGTATTTGTGATTTGAAGGATTTGCTCTCAGTTGGGATAGGTTTCCCAAAAAAGAAGCCCCTATTTTCATTCTTAAGTCTTTTAATAAATTATCTTTTAATAAATTTTAAACGGTCCTGCTAAGTATCAGAAGTGTCAGTCTGATCCAGACACTGTATAAATGAAAGGACAGAAAAGAGAGCAAAACAATCTCCAGGAAGAGACTCACTCATGGCCTACAAGGCAGAGTATCAGGAGACTCAATACTGGAAGGGCCTTGTCTGATGTTCTACAAAGCAACCCCCTAAAAAATATATTAAATGATCTGCCTGACAAGTAAGAACTTAACCACTGGAGAACGTTTCCTGGGAAGCCTATAGCCCTAAATGGTGACTGAAGATTTTGTTTGAGCACTGAGAATTTGGAAGCTTGGACACAAACTGTAGTGTCCTTATTCTGCAATGCGGAAGTGCACACGTTTTTGCGATTGTTTTAAGAATATCCAATTCAAATGGCAGAAAACAGTCAAACAACATCCTCAAGTGTGTTTCAGACTACACATAAAAACTAAAATAATTTGCAATATCAAGAAACTTAACAGGCTGTTTTTAACATTTAAAAATGGAAGTGAAAAAGACCAGGGGCCTCATGTACGAAGACTTGCGTGGAAATCTTACTAAAACATTGCGTACGCACAAAGCTGTAAATGTGCGTACGCAGAAAAAATTTCAGATGTATGAAACACTGCGTACGCCGAATCTCACGCATATTCTTTTGTACATCTGAATGAACGTGAAACTGAGCGCAACATGCACGAGCACAAAACCCCTCCCTGCCTCCTCCCCCGTATGAATATGCTAATGACTATTCTAATGGTAAAACCCAACGAAAAAGCAATGGCAAAAGCAAGCAAAAAGAGAAACTTTGAACAGAATGTGAATTGGAGGTGCTGCTTTCGGAGGTAGACCGGAGAAAAGCGGTGTTATTTGCAAGTTTGTTCTCCGGAATTAACAACAAAAGAAAAAAATAGAGTGGGAGAGTTTAGCTGATACGGTTAACACAGTTGGGTCTGAACATCGCACTGAGTGCATTTAAAAAAGAAATAGTGTGGTTTATATCTGTAAAATGTTGCAATAACCCTTACCAGTCTCAGTGGCGCACCTCATAAGAAGCATGTAAGCATGAACTGACACGTTCGAGCATGAACTCGGTTCGAATCCAGCGTCTGATGAATTCTTTCTTCTTGTTTTCCCCGCTACATATCAGATTTTGCCCACTATTTATCACGAGAAAGACAAGTAGGAATCATCAATAAGTTCATATCAATAAGCATCATATTTTATTTGCACATTTATTAAATGAAAATGTTTCTGATTCACGCATGCAAATTCATCTTCAGATAGTGTCTTTATAGCAATGTGCGTGCAGTAGATTGCTCAGATTACATTGGGAAAACAGGCGACCGCTGCAAATTAGGCTTTAATGTTTAGCTGGTCAACTGTATGGTATGGAAATCTTACATACCTACTATATGAACCCGTCTCACACAGACGCCATTGCAAGGATCAGACACTTTGTAGAGAAGAATTTAACACAACTGCCTCTAGGAGTCGCCAATGGAAATAAAACAGACACGCAAAAAAAATGTGCGTACGCCTGCCAGAAAGCTGCCGTGAACCTGCGCACATTCCCACGTTCAGTTCATTGTTAGTAAATCCAAACGTGAGCGATTCTGAGCGTGAAATCTGGCGTACGCAAAGTTTTTGTGCGTACGCAGCGTTGATACATGAGGCCCCAGAAGTCCTGAGCAAAAAAAAGATTTCAATGGCTGCACCAGCTAGTACATAAAGAATAGGGTCAATAAAGTGCATCATAAATAAGGGTGACTTAATGTGATAATTTAGGTAATACTGTTTTTAAGAGGCATTGTTGCATAAGTAAAAATCAGCATATAGTTGAATTGTCCCTGTGTGTAGTATAAGCATAACATTGCTTTGAAATGTTCTGATACAGCTACTCATTGAACCCTTTCGCGCAGTTTTGAAAGTTTTTTCTACACATTTGACTTGTCAGATCACCATCAGCAGCTTGTAAAATGAGAAAGCATGTTAAATTGGTATTACAGCCATTAGTGAGAATGAACATTCTGACTGATTGCTCTGCTTAGGGTACCAGGACAAAAGCAAGTCAAAAGAGAAAAGAAAAGGCTGAACAGGATGTAAAAACATAAAACCAAAGGCCTCTGTAAATGACAAGATCCAATCCTTCTTTTAAAAAATTAAATAATTCTTCATAATGCAGAACCAAATAACCAAACATTTTATGAAGATAAAACTTTGTGGTAATATTTTTTTTTACATTTTTTACATAATATTTTATTACATTTTCTTTATTAACTATGCATGCCAATTCCAATTGCACACATACTGTATGTCATGTATTGCATAAATATTGCAAAGACATGCTAAATTTAATCTCATCAAAATAAACTCTCAGTCCATTTAGCACAATGCAGCATCAGTGTATTGCATGTGTTTGTTTCACACCCTTTGTGAAAAGTTCACAAGAGGATTGTCACAGAACTGGTGCTAACAGGGCTCACAGGATTATGTTTCTGTGACATAACAAATAGACAAACAAGTGGATATCCCAAGTTGATAAACTTCTGTGCAAAGTCCAAATTAACAAAGATGTCATATCACTGTCTGAATAACAGGTCAGTTAGGCCTCAGATCTCACAGAGATTTGGCCCTGTTAACAGAAGCAATGAAACTGTAACCATACAATGTACTTGGACATACAGTAAAAGCCACAGTATTAAAATATATCAAATCAGTTTTCAAACCAACATCAAAACAATATATTTAACATCCAATATCAAACCAATTTTGTAGAACCAAATGGCAAGCATCTATGCATATATACATATATACACACACATGTATTTTCATTGTGTGTGTATGTATGTGTGTGTATATATATATATATATACACATACATCCATACACACACACACTCACACATCATTTAATTACTAAACATGTTACTTTTTGACTAAGGGGATAGTCAGGCAATAAATAAAAATCTTCTCCAAATAAAGATATTTTGAAGAAAGCGGGAAACCTGCATCCATTCACTTCAATAGTATTTGTTTTTCCTACCATGTAAGGCAGAGGTGTCCAAACTCGGTCCTGGAGGGCCAGTGTCCTAGAGAGTTTAGCTCCAACCCTAATCAAACACACCTGACACAGCTAATCAAGCTCTTTCTAGAAATACTAGAAACTTTCTGGCAGGTATAATGAAGCAAATTGGAGCTTAACTAAACAGGACACCGGCCATCCAAGACCGAGTTTGGACACCCCTGATGTAAGGCAACAGGTTCACAGCATTGTTTAAAATATTGTTTGTGTTTAAGAGAATAGAGAATTTCACAAAGGGTTGAAACCATTTGAGGGTAAGTAGTAAGTTAATTTTCATTTTTGTGTGAACTGTCACTTTAACTTGGTTCTGTGTTTGTGCTCTTTCTATAGATGACCTTTCAGTTTGATGTTGTGCTTGTTTCTGCTTTCTGGTGTTTTGCTCATAGGTGAACCTCTACATTTGACTACCTAGTACCTAACTGTCTTTTTGACAAACAAAAATGTACATAAACGCGTTTGCATTGACTTAACATGTAAATCACTCTCGCTTGATGCCCGTTCCGCATCTGTTGTGAACGCAGCATTAAAGAAACACGTAGGGGAAAATCTGCCAAATCTGCCCACTGGCCTCTGTCCATCATGGCCTCCCAACCCTCCCCATATTCCAATTGGCTGCATCTCTGTCTCCTCTCCACCAATCAGCTGGTGTGTTGTGTTCGGTCTGGTGGAAAATGGCTGCCGTCGAGTCATCCAGATGGATGCTGCACACTGGTGGTGGATGAGGAGATTCCCTCCCATTGTCTTAAGTGCTTTAAGTGCCCAGAAAAGCGCTATATAAATGTAAAGAATTATTATTATTATTATTATTATTAATCTGTAGAAAGTTATGTGCATCCATCAAAGCAAAAGTTGGGAAAATAAATACTTCTATCTTTATGCAGCATCAGAATAGGTGGGAAAAAGGTGGGCTAATTTGAAACAGACACTATAAATGAAAGGACAGAAAGGAGAGCAGAACAAACTCCTAACAGGAGGAGACTCACTCATGGCCTACGAGACAGAGGATCAGGAGACTCAATACTGCTTTCCTAACATCAACTCATCATGTGTCAAGGGAAAACGCTCCAAACATGAATACAATATCTTTTACATATTTGTATTGTTAATGTCAGCATGGACTGTGTTTCTGAACCTGCTGGTGATCATCTCCATCTCTCACTTCAAAAAGCTTCACACTCCAACCAACCTGCTCATTCTCTCTCTGGCTGTGGCTGATTTATTTGTTGGACTTGTTGTGATACCAACCGAGGGTATCAAGCAAATTGAGACATGTTGGTACTTTGGAGACACTTTCTGTGGACTGTTTGTAATTATCGTTAGGTTGCTCCTTTCAGCATCTCTTAGTAATTTAGTTTTAATTGCTGTTGATCGTTATATTGCTGTGTGTTATTCCTTACAGTACCCACAAAGAATAACCAAAACTAAAACTGTAATAAGCATCTGTCTTTGTTGGTTTTCCTGTTCAGTTTACAATATTTGGTATGTCATTGGTAACGGGTATTTTAGCATGTCTGACAAAACACTGTGTTATGGCCAGTGCATGGTTGTGATTACTCCAACTTGGAGATTTATAGATTTAATATTTTCCTTCCTTTTTCCTTGTACTGTAATCATCACTGCATATGTGAGGATATTTTATGTTGTACACAAGCAAGTGAAAGTTATAAACTCTCAAATAAAAGGTGTAAAATGTGTAATGGAGGTTTCAATCAAGAGGAAATCTGAGAGTAAAGCTGCTCTGACATTGGGAATCATTGTGACAGCTTATCTGCTTTGCTGGATTCCTTTCTATATTTGTTCTCTAACAAAAATCACAACGATCACATCCACTACTATGACACTACTAGTATGGACCTTCCATTTAAACTCAGGTCTAAATCCTATCGTCTATGCTTTGTTTTATCGCTGGTTTAAAATATCAGTTAAACACATTGTAACTCTCAGAATATTTCAGCCAGCATCCTCTCTAATGGACATTTTTACAGATAGTCATTCATGACTGGTGAAGCTATATTGTGTTTACTGTTGTGTTTTAGCTCAACCTTTAAGATCCCTGAAAATACACAAATTACAGCAAAAAAGTATATACTCAAGCAAATGTTCATTTACATTAATGACATGCAGTAATCAACAATAAATTAGCAAAAAGAGAGATGCAGAATGCCTAATTCTGTTTTATTGGTAAAATGTCATATGAATTATGGCCAAAAAAATCCTTTTTCTGTCTTCCAAGGCATAAAAACATGCATTTTTTAAAAAAAAAAAGGCAACTCTAGACATTATGTACCCTAGAAATACATTAGTGGTACTTATATTTTTACTTATTTCATTCAATCGTGATTAATATAATCCAATTTGAGTGTGCTGTGTTTTTGTGTACATTTTAAGTATCCTGTTATTAACTCAAATTCTCTTTAGTCAGGTCCACTTCCACTGATATTCTATTTGTATGTCAACAGTTTTGTTTAATGTAATGTTTTATTCTCTGCAAAAGTTCACATATTAATTTCCATGTTGAAATGTTAAAATGCAGTGTAATTAAAATGGAATTCAAACTGGCATTTGTGTGTGCATTTAAATGATAAATGTCTTGCTATTAGCTCAAAATCTGTTAGAAATAAATTCAGTCAAGCCTACTTTTGTAAATAGGTTATGTGTAATTGCAAGTGTTTGGCTTTTTGAGTTTGTTCTGCCACATCTGGACAATGCTAGGAAAGCCGCAACACTTTTACCTCTCCTCTAAAACACACCAAGTATAATATTACAAAGATTAAACAGCTGTGCACATTTTGTCTTTACATGTCATTTTCCTGATTTTTTCCTGATCCCATTTACTCAAAATGCATCTATTTTGCATCCATTAGCACAAGAAAAAGTCATGCTAATATATATTTATTAAATAAGATGTTTGATTGAATGTGATTTGAAATGCATTTATTCATCTAAGGCTGCTTTAAGTGGAAAAAGCAAACAACTCTGAATGTTGCAGCATTTGCTGGATTTTAAAAGTGTCTGAGATAGTGGAATCTCTTTATCACAGAAGGACTGACATTTTTTGAACCGCAAAGAAAAAAAAAGATATGGTATGGTCAGTCTTTTTTTTGAAGCTGGTGTCTTCCAGACTGCACGATTCTGAGTGTTTTTGTGGCATATAGAGCCACTAGTTGTGCACCAGTAACACCTGTTATGTAACAATGCACAAATATCTACATGCAATATAATCTGCACTGGTATTATATATATATATATATATATATATATATATATATATATATATATATATATATATATATATATATATATATATATATATATATTAGTGATGTGCAGAGCAGCCGGTATTTGTATCTGTATTTGATGAGGGGGGAAAAGTATTTGTATTCGAATAAAATTCAAAATGGCGCAAAAATATATATTTTTTCTATTCCACTTCTAATTTACTTTATAGTGAAAGTATTGTTTAATTATACCCATTATATAAATTATAGATATGCAATATTGGTTGTTGTTTTTGAACACGTGACAAGAAATGTCATTGAAAAGAAAATAACATAGAAGCCATTATCTCATCCATGGTTAAACCAACAACTAATAAAATACCATTGTGAATATTATGAACCCCACCACCACCGTTCTTGTTGAAGAACACTGAATAGACAGAATAAAAACAAATAATACTTAAAAAAACTGTTCTTCTTTTGAAAGAACTTCTTTCCAATGCACAGAATTCCAAAAACTAAAATTAGCTAAATAAATCTAAATAAAACTCTGCCTGGGAGATCTGGCACTGGACAGCCACTGCGTAAAACATATGCTGGATAAATTGGTGGTTCATTCCACTGTGGCAACCCCAGATTTATAAAGGGACTAAGCCGAAAAGAAATGAATTAATGATTATGCATAGATGATGTTGACAGATGTTTAATATCTCTGCTGATTTCACTTTTGCACACATTATACAGTATCACTTTGTTTTATCTGCAGCACCACTGACTTTAAAATGCTTCCACACAGTACCTGAAGGTTTTTATTATTATTATTATTATTATTATTGACACGTGGAGGACCAAGAAATGGCTCAGCAGCAGTCTCACTCTTTTTCTGGGTGCCCAAATGTATTTGAGGAGTTTCAAGTTAATAAAAAGTGACGGGAAGCTATGCTTAGGTTAACTAGCCTATAGCATATATCTTGCTGTCTGCAAAAGACAGTAATGTAGACGTACCATATAACTCCCATAAGTGCATATTATTCGACACAACTGTCGAATAAACGAACAACTTTATAAACGAACGTTAACGTTACTCTGTCAACAGTCTATTGTCTAAATTACTGCGCTAACAGAGCTAACGTTGCGTAAACAGAGCACCCGAGTGCAAACGTCAAAAATGCAGCGTAATAGAATATCCCGATCAAACTCCGCTTAAACTACGCTACAAGTTTATAAACTGCATATGAAACCCAATTAAGGTACAAAAATCTATTTAACAAAAATAGTGATGCAGTGAAGTATTTTTTTCTCGCTCAGCCGAGCCTTCTCGGTCTGTTGCTGTGGAGAAGCTTGTGCCAGACACCTTTTACCTGCACTCCGCCCATAGACTACTGACTGAGCGTCTCTCTCTCACACTCACTCACTCACTCATTTATTCACTTACGGGGGCATGCACTGTGGTCTCATGAGGAAACGCTGCTTTTTGATATAATGTGTTTCTTGCTCCCGAATACAAATAATTTTTCAAGTATTTGTTAGAAATAAGTATTCGTAAAAACACGCTATTCGTGCCTTTCCGAATACCGTATTCGGGTTCGGCTCCACCCATTATATATATATATATATATATATATATATATATATATATATATATATATATATATATATATATATATATATATATAGTTCCCCTTCGGGGGGAACTCCAGCACTATAAGTGGATTTGATGTTCTAAATCCTAAAGAAGCTACTTGTCTGAAAGAGTATTGAACGGGCCAATGAAAGCAATGAATTGGCAGCCCAAGCTTGCGCAGGTGTGTTGCATCGCCAATCAACTGAGCATATAAGCACACCTGGCGCCAGCAAACGCGATCCTTTTTGCTTCAGAGACTTTTCTGATCGAGCTTCATGAGGGTTTCTCTTGCTGTCTACAGCCACATCGAGCGAACGATCCCGGTCCAGAGCGAGTCCACGCAGCGGCAGACGGTCGAGCTGGGTTTTCTTCCTTGCCTGGCGTCCCTTTGGGTCCCGTCCTCCAGAGCGGTGCGTATTGTTGCAGTTTTCCTAAAAGAGCAACACAATCGTGCAGCACGTCCTTTTCAGGATGGCGCTCCGACTGCGCGTTTCTGGTTGCTGGGGTTTCCTGGCTCCGGATGATGGGCACGATCACTGCATTACATGTTTGGGGGTCAAGCATGTCAATGTGGTGCTCGGGGCGGTTCATGTCATCAATGCGATGCCAGGACCGTCGCGCAGTTGAGATCATGGCTAACTTTCGTAAGAAGGGCGCTCGGGCAGATCTGAGGGTTCCAGCGAGAGATAATCCGCCACCTAAGGGCTCGCAGACCTCTCGCTACTCCAAGCGCTCCATCCAAGCTTCGGGTACTGGGAGTGATCCGTCTAATCAGATGGTAGCTCTCACGCTCGCTGACACCGGAGATCAGATGTCCTCCGCGGCATCGGAGGGTGGGCTTTCATTGTCCGACGATGATCCGGACCCGCTCGCCCCCTTCGGGCAGGTGAGCGCTGTCAAAATGGATCCTGAAACGGACGTGTTAGCCGTGCTTCCCCGGGCTGCTTTGGCCGTGGGTTGGAGATGGTTTATCCCCCAGCTCCATGGCCGGACCGACTAGAGGGGCGTTCCCTTCTTCCCGGCGATGCACAGTAGGCTCACGCGGTCCTAAAGAGCACTTTTTTCTGCTCGTGCTGCGTGTCCCTCCACCCTCACCACTCTCGGTGGTGGAGCGGCCAGGGGGTATGTGGCGATTCCTCAGGTTGAGTGCGCGATGGCGGTTAATCCGCGCGGCGCCTCTTCTTGGCGGGGTCTGCCTCGTCTCCCATCCAAAGCCTGTGAGTTTTCGGCTCCCTCAGAGCTAGAGCTTACAAAGCTACGGACCAGGCTGCATCCGCCTTGCATGTGATAGCCACCTACCAGCGCTACCAATCGCAGGCGCTGGCCGAGCTGCACGAGGGTGGGTCCAACCCAGGCTTACGAGCTCCGCACCGCTGCCGACTTAGCTCTTCAGACTACTGAGTCCGCTGCGTGTGCTTTGGGGAGGACGATGTCCACACTAGTGATCCAGGAGCACCACCCCTGACTAAAACTTGGATGGTATGCGCAAAGTCGACAAAGTCCGCTTTCTTGACTTGCCCATATCCCAAGCTGGTCGGCGACACTGTCTGCGAATTCACCCATGAATTCGAGGCAGTTAGAGAGCAGTCTGATGGGTGATGTCTTATCGGCTAATCCGTAAGCCCGCTCCGTCCGCCGTGCCATCCATACCTGCTCCTCGCCGAAGGCGCCTGCCTACGAGAGCTGCACCGCCCCCGCACACGCCTCTGGCGAAGCGAGCGCGTCGAGCACCTTGGAAACAGGCAGCTCCCCCTGCCCAGAACGCCGCCAAGTCCGGCAACGGACCGCGAAGCGTCCCTGGGACAGGTCATCTGGAGAAGAGGGAACTTGCTCTTCTCCGCTGGAGGGCTGGGCGCCATTTCCAACAGCACCTTTTACTGCCATGAAATGAAAGGGCACTTTTCCACTTCCCCGGATGTGACAGCCAGAAATCTGCCAGTTTGAGACACTATGCTCTCTAGCTCGCAGGTTCGGTGAGCTCCGCCAGTGGCTCACGAGCACTGCAAGCCCTGCCAGTCTGGGACGCGCAGCCTCTCAGCTCGCAGGGTCTACATGCTCCACCAGCGGCTCACGGGTGCTGGGGGGACGGTCTGCCTTCTCCCAGCCCCCAAGCCCCTTTTCCGGAGTCAGGGTGCGGAGCCAGAGCGAATCGCTCTCCTCTAGCTCTTCTGTGGGACTCTGCCCTTCCGCGGGTCTCTCCGGAGAGCGCGCTCGCCTGCTGCTGAACTGTCTGAGGGAGCTCAACAGCAAAATAGTGGTGCCCCTGAAATATTTTCAGAGGCTCCTGGGGCATATGGCTTCTGCTGAGGCTGTCACGCCGCTCGGACTGCTCCATATGAGACCACTTCAACAATGGCTTCAAGATCGAGTTCCAAGACGCGCATGGCATGCGGGCACACACCGAGTCTCTGTTACTGTGCTGTGTCGCCGCACCCTAAGCCCCTGGAACGACCCCTCGTTCCTGCAGGCCGGTGTGCCTCTGGGACAGGCGTCCAGTCATGTTGTTGTCTCAACAGATGCTTCCAGCACAGGCTGGGGAGCCGTGTGTCGCGGGCATGCAGCCTGTGGGTAAGAGCCCAGCTGCATTGGCATTTCAATCGCCTAGAGCTGTTGGCAGTGTTCCTTGCTCTCCGCCATTTTTCTCCGGTGCTGGAGCAACAACACGTGCTGGTCAGGACGGACAGTACGGCGGCGGCAGCGTATTTCAACCGCATGGGGGGTATGCGATCTCGCCGCATGTCTCAGCTCGCCCGCCGTCTGCTCCTTTGGAGTCACCCGCGGCTGAAGTCGCTACGCGCCATTCACATCCCAGGTATGCTCAACCGTGCAGCCGATGCGCTCTCACGGCAGCAGATTCACTCTAGAGAATGGAGACTCCACCCCAAGTCTGTCCAGCTGATATGGGCGCG